TAAAATTCCTTGTTCCACCCTTTGTTAAAATTGTTATTTCAACTCTTACATATAAACACATGTTTAGGTTTTTTTGGTTTTTTTGTTTGTTTGTTTGTTTGTTTTTGAGACAGAGTCTCACTCTGTCACCCAGGCCGGAGTGCAGTGGCGTGATCTCGGCTCACTGCAAGCTCCGCCTTACCAGTTCAGGCCTTTCTCTTGCCTTAGCCTCCTGAGTAGCTGGGACTACAGGCGCCCACCACGACGCCCGGCTAAATTTTTTGTATTTTTAGTAGAGGCGGGGTTTCACTGTGTTAGCCAGGATGGTCCCAATCTCTTGACCTCGTGATTCGCCAGCCTCAGCCTCCCAAAGTGCTGGGATTACAGGCGTGAGTGACCGCACCCGGCCCCTATACACTGTTTTTAAATCAACAGAGGTAACATTAACATTTAGCATAGGATCTACCACAAGTTGTCTCCCAGATTGCTTCAGTATGTTTCTGTTAGGCCTACTATAAAGTAGAAAAATAAAGCAAATGGGTTTTGGGGTTTTTTGTTTTTGAAAAAAGGGTGAGTGGAAAAATCTAAATAACTTTACTTCCTTTAATAATTGTAGATGTGGCCGGGCCCGGTGGCTCACGCCTATAATCCCAGCACTTTGGGAGGCTGAGGCAGGCGGATCACCTGAGGTTGGGAGTTCAAGACCAGTCTGACCAAAATGGTTAAACCCCATCTCTACTAAAAATACAAAATAAGCTGGGCGTGGGGGTGCATGCCTGTAATCCCAGCTACTCAGGAGGCTGAGGCAGGAGCATTGCTTGAACCAGGGAGGCGGAGGTTGTGGTGAGCCAGGATCATGCCATTGCACTCCAGCCTGGGTAACAAGAGTGAAACTCCGTCTCAAAAAAAAAAAAAGTCATAATAATAATTGTAGATGTCGAATTAATTTAAAATTCTAGATTTTTAAGTAGGGCAACTATCTTGAGAGCCAGCAGGCATTATTCTTAGACTTTCACTTTCAGTCTGATAGGGAAACCTAGTTCATAGATTTAAAATTATCAATTAAGTAATAAAAATTTTAATCACTATTAACAGCCAAATTAACCCTGTGAAAGCAGCATTTAAGAGTAACTAGAAAATGGGAATTAGTAATAAAGCAAATAAAGAAGGGCAATAAATACAAAGCAGAAACTGTCAAAGATAATAGTCTTATGAACTGAAAACAAATGGAGAATAAAATGCTAGATATACTTTAATCAATCAAGTGATTCTTTCAAGTACAATAGTGCATCAATCTGGTAATAACTATGGTTTGACAGTCTCAAAGAAGTGAAAAATTAATACTCAAGAAAACAATTATGAAAATAACCAGTTAGCAAATTAATGCTCAAGTCCAATTCCATATTCAAATAATAATAAAAGTCAATCAGTGGTTTATTTTAATATATCATTACAGTAAGAAAAACTCCTCTGAAATGTATGATATTTGAAAACAAACTGGGACAAAAATCTGCTTTATCTATGAACTTTCCACTAGAAAATACAAGCATACCATCATTAGAGAACGTAAGACATCAAAAGCCTTATGTGTTAAAACCATACTAAAACAATTTATCTAAATAACGAAGATCTTAATCTAAAAGATAGTGAATACATCATCATCATGAAATCTGGTTTTATGTGCTCTACGGAATACTCGGAGAACTGTTTTTGTTTTTGTTTTTGCTTTATTAGGTCACACAAACCAGAATGAATTGGCAGAAAAATGCTCTGTATATTATAAAATAGCATTTACTACTTCAATTTAAATTCTTTTTACCAACAATTGTAGACCTTTTTGATGACACTTATTTTATGTATGTTTTAAATAAATTATGTACTTATTAGTACTTAATTAACCCTTCCTGCCTCAATATAAAATTACGAAACTTAGAGAATTACAGATTTTATTGTGGTCCCTGATATTAGCCACTTTGGAGAAGCTAAAAATTTGGCCATAATGAATGATCCAATGACCCTTTAAATTATCTTTATATTTAATATTACGTGATCCTGCACTACACTGATTTAAAACATGCTTTTTGAAAAAATGTCTTAATAATGGAGCAGTAATCTTCAGTGTGTTTCAAACACTATTTGTACCAAAATCATGTAGGTGTTGGCAGTGGTTCCCAAACTAGGATGATAAAGACACCTGCAGTTTGCTTAAACACAACTGCTAGCCCCTGCCCCTGCTCCTAGAGTATCTGATTTAGTAGATCTGAGATGGGACCCTGAGAGAGGTTGCATTTCCAACACGTTCCCAGGTGATGTTGATGCTTTTTGTTGGGACCACACTTTTGGCAATCACTGCCCTAGGGCATCTGGTAAGAATGCATACCTTTGGGCCCCATGCTTAAATTAGAATTTCTGAGATTGGGGTCTTCAGATCGGCATTTTAACAATGTCCTAGGCAAGTGTGCAAACCACAGTTTAAGAATCACTATGACAATTTGACTGGGTTAACTTGCCTATTACTGGCCAATGTATCAGATGTCATATATCATATAAATAAAAATGGAAATAATGCTCAATGACTAACCCCAAGCCTGATACAGTTCAAATGAACACACAGGATTTGAATATAAATCCTGCCTCTGTTACTTACTAGCTTTGTGACAGTGACAAAGTAACTTTAATTCTCCGAGCCTCAGTTTCCTTATCTATAACATGGGAATAACACCCAAATTTTGAGGATTAACACTATTATACACAGAGTAAGCACAATAGTTAGCACACAGTAGGCACTCGATAAATACTAGCTATTACTTATTAAGAAATGTATGAAATATTTCCTTCAGTATCTGGTCAAAGCAAATTTTTTATTCACTTAAATGCAATAGTTACACTCCAAGGTAATAGAATAATAATACAATCTTATATTCATTGCTCCCTATTCTGGGACAGATAGTGTTCTAAGAACCTTACATTTATTTAATCCTCATAAAAATCCTGTGAGGTAGGTAGTATTATCATCCCTAATTTACAGATGAGAAAATTGAGACACGGAGAGATTAAATAAAATTGCTCAAGTAAGTGTTGGAGCAAGAATTTAAACCTGAGTAAGTCTGACTCTAGAACCCAGGATTCATCACAACATTCATTTCCTGTGAGTAAATCTTAAGGTTTTTGGATATTTATAGTAAACCATTTATACTTCTAGTCAAGTAACACATACGAAAATTCATGTCACACTATTGTGAAGAGTTGTTCAAAGAATAAAATGAATGCCTCAAAATTTTGGCAGATAATACTACCATGATAATAGGTAAAAATTGGTGCATGTTTTCACTATGTGGACAGAGTAATCAATGGTTAGTCAACGAAAAAAATATCCTCTCAAGTATACCATTCGAGGAGTCATGATTGTGACATGTTTTGGCACAATAAATAGAAATTATTTAGCTAGCCAGGCGCTGTGGTTCACACCTGTAATCCCAGCACTTTGGGAGGTGGAGGCAGGTAGATCACCTGAGGTCAGGAGTTCAAGACCAGCCTGGCTAACATGGCAAAACCCCATCTCTACTAAAAATACAAAAATTGGCCGGGCGTGGTGGCACACACCTGTAATCCCAGCTATTCGGAAGGCTAAGGCAGGAGAATCGCTTGAACCCGGGAGGCAGAGGTTGCAGTGAGCAGAGATCATGCCACTGCACTCCAGCCTCGGGGACAGTGAGACTGTCTCCAAAAAAAGAAATTATTTAGCTAAACAGCAGAGTCAGTGGCACGACAGCCATGTAAAATTGGCATAATGATAAACATAAGGGAAATGTAAATCTTTTGTGCCATTAAAAATAATCTCATAGAAAGTCTGTAAAATATTCTGTTATGACACACTCAGTATTGCTAAAGATAATAAAAATACAAATTTTCTTTCGGAAACTCTTTAAACAGAGAGTCACTAAAAATAGAATGAAACATTTGTGAATGTTTTTGATGACAGCCTTGAATAGGTATTCTGCATTGTTAGAATTATCCACTGGCAAGACAATTATCCCAAAATAGTAAGTCAGCATGAACTTTCAGACTGTTATTTATAAGTTAAGTATCTACTCTTTCAATATATAACGTTTTTGTTTAAGTACTCTGCGTTTTCTATTGTTTTTAATTAATTCTTTTCAAAATCTTGCATTCAAAATAATCTTGCCAGTGTAACTAATAGCCACCTTGGATCCTAAAAATGAATGTTATAACTCTGCTTTAAACAAGTTATAAAAAGCATAAACACGTTCTCATCTCTCAACAGGATGAGAATGAAAGAAATCAAAACTATGTAGTTAGAAAGAGTTTAAAATAATCAATTTAAAATGTCACTTAGTAATTCCTGAGAGTGGCACTGATATAAGAAAAGCATCCTCAAATAGCATTAAATTTATTATTAGTTACCCATAATTAACAATGGGTAAATTTGCGAACAAATCTTATAAAATACATGTTTACAGAATGCTATGAATGCTATGAGTAAATTAATATTAATAGTGGAGAATTGTATTCAAGGGTGGGTAAACATATTTAGAAGAGAACCAACAGAGATTCCATAAAGGATTACTAATTAGAATCAAATATATAATATAGGCAAGGCCCATATAATTTTAAAGTACGGTTTTATTAAGGCACTTCAGGATAAATGCCAGTCTTATTTTAGCTTCTTTTGGAAGAAAAACTGCCAATTATAAATAATCACAGCAAAATTTTCATTAGACAAAAACTGTATGTGTTGGGGGGTGTTGGATCATGTATATCATACTGCAAATATAAACTCAACTCTTGAGCTGTATTAATAACACTGAGCAACAATATTTCTTTCTAAAATTTTCTTTAAGGCAGATCTGTTTATTACTAACATAGCACAGTGTAGTTTTAGCAAATTCAACTGTTTTAGTTTCTTAGTGACAATAATACAGATGGTCAAAAATAGACAACAAATCTCTTTTCTAGTTCTTCTACCTGGCCACCATTTTAAAAACACAATTTCTTCTTATATATATAGATATATTTTTATATTACTGTGTCAAAACACATTTTAACAGACTTCGCAGGTCATTTAAAGCTTCAGTTTATAGTCATTCATGTGAAAGGTTTCTATATGGAATGTTCACTTAGAATTCCTCACTGGGATTCCAGTGTTCTATGTCAGAAATGCAGAAGTCCTTCTTCAGTGCAATGCTAGACATTTTACCTTTGTTCATTCGTGATTTTCTTTCAAGGGTTTCCTAACTTCACTTTTGTGCCTTCATTTTTGTTTGCTTGACTAATTTCCTTTAGTATATTTTCAGGTAAGGTAGCTTGATATCTGTATAAATAAATATACGGACGAAGATGATAAATGAGGTATTCTAACACATACCCAGTTGTAAAATCAACATAGTGAAAAGAAACTGCAAGATCAGAACAGCAACCAGGACCCTCTACCGGAGGATAATAGCTGTAATTCCTGTACCAAAAGGTTCTAAGTAGATAACCTTTATTAAGTGGTGTTCTGGCACAAAGTGATGAAAAGGTTTTTTTCCAATGGCATCTCTGGAATCTCCTGCTTCTACATTTATAATTTCCATGCATCTCCCCAGTGCTAAGTCTTCAATGGAGAAATTATGTGTACACTTGTCTGTTTTAAATGCATCAACAAATCTCTTCAAGCCTTTTTTGCTTAGTAAATATGCTGCTCCTCCACTCATATAGCCCTGTTTTACAAAGGGTTTAAATCTTCTTCCACAGTAAATGCGTTCTTTAGAATCATATTTTGAAAGAAGCCATCTCAAATTGTGTAGTATGAAATATGTATCATCATCTACTTTCAAAAACCAATCAACATCTTCTAAATGATGTTCATGAACATACTGAAAAGGTTTAATTGTTTTCCAGTAAAGCTGATCTCTGCCTTCTTTGGTTTTCAATCCCACAGCAGGGAAGTCTTTATTTCTTCCGAACTCATAAAAAACACTCTGTGACAATGCTGGACCCAGGTAACTTTGACATGTTTGGCCTTTTTCTCTAGGTTTTGAGGGCCTGTCATAACCCAGCAAAGAATTTTAACTTGCTGATAGAGGTTTTCAGTGATGTCTATGTTCTCATCTTTACGTTGGCTAGAATCTGCATTGAAGTTCATTTGTCCTTCTAGATGATTCTGTCCATTATCATCTGAATGCCTCGCATGAGGATCTTTATGAAGAACATTAGACTGGGTGTCACCCTCGTTTCCCAACAAAATATTAAATAGCTGAGAACATAAAAGAAATCCTATTGCCGATCCATAGAGGAAGGCTAAAAAATTCAGCCGGGATTTAGAAGCCATCTCCAAAAGTGTATTTCTGACATCAGCCCTGGCTCCCTCTTGCCCCTCCTGGGGGGCAGAGAGGGCGACGACACAGGACTGGCAACCTTTGCTTCTCTGGGCACCCTCAGAAGTGGCTCCTGGCCCCTTGCCAAGGCTGCCAGCTGCCACCCAGATCATTCTCCGGCAGCGGCAGCGGCAGCGGCAGCGGCAGCAGAGTTTTAAATAAAATACGATCTGCATGTCTTCACATGCTTCTTTCTTCCTATTTGTTCACTTTTCTTCCATTTTCTGTCCTCAGAATCTCTTACCCTGTGTGTATTCTGAAATCTCTCTTTATGCACCCCTACAGAAGTCTATCTCTTTAAAGCAGTTAGAGAGGCAAGACCATTCAAAACATGCTCCTCATGTAAGCCATGTGGAAAGAAAGATAGATGATGAATAGATGAGAAAGAGAGAGAGAGAGAGAGAGAGGAGTGATAGGAAGGAGACAAGGAAGGACTGAGGTATTGTTTGTTTATGTAGATCTTTTAGATATCTTAATAAGTGGGCTTCTGATTGTCAGTAGAAAAAAACTTTCCTGCCCTCATTTTAGATTCCATTAAGACTGTCAGTCATCCTTATCTTTGTACTTGTTATTTCTACATCATGCTTCCTCATTTCTCCAGAAATTTTCTGAACAGTTTCTAAGTTCGTGACCAATTATTTGCCTTGACCGCAACTTAGATTGGCTCTTTCTAAACAACCCCTAGGGAAGCTCCTTCTTTTCCTATTTCCTCGTTGTGCTGTGGTTTAGTGTACATTGCAGGGCCAGAAGGAATTCTGAAGTACATGCTATTCTGCTCCACACGTCTTCCTTTTCCCCCTACCCTGTGCTTCACTCTGTGTCCAAATTCCTTCTAAACAGGTTTGGTGGCCATCTAGCCAAGAGAGGTCATCTTCAGTGACAGGAAGTTCACTATTTCTTGAGATGACCCAGTCCATTTTTATAAACTCTAATAATAATTAAAATACCTGTCTCTCTCACTCTCACCCACAGCTATTTCTAACTACGGGAGTCTCATAGAGCAATTTAACCATAAAATTGTTTGCATAAAAGCCCTTTGAAAAACAATTCTATTTACAATAGTATGAAAAAGAATCAAATACTTAGGAATAACCAAAGAGATAAAAGACTGGTACACTGAAAACTACAAAGCATTGTTGAAAGAAATTAAAGAAAACACCAGTAAATGGAAAGACATTTTATGTTTCATGAATTAGAAAACTTAATATTATTAAGATGCCAATACTACACAAAGCAATCTACAGATTCAATATAATCTCTGTCAAAATCCCAGTGATGTTTTCTACAGAAATAGAAAAATCATCCTAATATGCATGTTGAATTTCAAGAGACCCCAAAATAGGTAAAACAATCTTCGAAAAGAACAGTTGGAGGTTTCACACTTCCTGATGTCAAAACTTACTACAAAGCTACAGTAGTGAAAACAGTGTGGTACTGGCATACAGACAGACATATAGATCAGTAGAATAGAACTGAAAGTCCAGAAATAATCCCATACATTTATGGTCAACTGATTTTCGACAAGAGTGCCAAGACCATTCAATAGGGAAAGAATAGTTGCTATGACTTGAATGTTCCCACTGAAAGTTGTGTTGAAATTTAACTGTCATTGTAACAGTATTAAGAGGTGGTGCTTTTAGAGGTGATTGGGGCATGAAGGCTCTGCTCTCATGAATTGATTAATACTGTTATATTAGGAGTGCGTTAGATATCTCTGGCATGGGTGTCTGATAAAAACAATGAGTTTGGCCTGATTTCCTCTTCTGTCTCGCATGCTCACTTCTGCCTTTCACCCTTCTGCCATGAGATCATCCTCACCTCATGTTGGCACTATGCCCTTGGACTTCCTAGCCTCAAGAACCATGAACCAAATAAGTTTATTTATAAATTACTCAGTCTATAGTATTGTGTTATAGCAGCAGGAAACAGACTAAGACAATAGTATTTTCAATGAATGATGTTGGAAAAACAGGATACCCACATGGAAAAAAAATGTATTTGAACCCTTACTTTACACCATATATAAAAGTTAACTCAAAATGGATCAAAGACCCAAACATAAGACCTACAACTGTAAAGCTCATAGAAAAAAGCATATGGAAAAGCTTCATGACACTGGATTTGGCAATGATTTCTTGACTATGACATCAAATGCACAGGCAACAAAAGAAAAAATAGACAAATTAGACTACATCAAAATTAAAAGCTTTGTCATCAACTATCAACAGAATGAAAAGGTAACCCACAGAATGAGAGAAAATATTTGCAAATCATATACCTGATAAAGGTTTAATATTAAGAATATATAAAGAACTCCTACAACCCACAAAAAGCCAAACAACTTAATTCAAAAATGGGCAAAGGATTTGAATAGACATTTCTTGAAAGATATGCCTATAGCCAATAAGCACATGTAAAAATGCTCACTGTCACTAATATTAGAGAAATGCAAATCAAAGCCACAATGAAATACCACTTCACCCTCATTAGGATGGCTATTATTTTTTTAAAAACCAAACAATAAATAACAAGTGTTAGCAAGGATATGGGGAAATTGAAACTCTTGTGCACTTTGGTGGAAATACAAAATGGTGCAGCCGTTTGGAAGACAGTATGGTGGTTCTTTCAAAAATTAAAAATGGAATTATCACATGATCCAACAATTTCACTTCTGAGTATATACCCAAAAGAATTGAAAGCAGGAATGCAAAAAGGTTTGTAGACCCATGTTCACAGCAGCATTATTCACAATAGCCAAAAGATGGGAATGACCCAAGTGTCCATTGACAGGTAATGAATAAACAAAATGTGATGCATACATACAATTAAATATTATTAAATCTTAACAAGGAAGACAGTTCTGACACATTCTACAACATGGATGAACCCTGAAGACATTATGTTACGTGAAATAAGCCAGTCACGAAAGGACAATGGTTATTGATTCCACATACATGAGATGCCTTTAGTAGTCAAATTAATAGACAGAAAGTAGAATTGTGGTTTCCAGGGACTGGGGACAGGAAAGAATGGGAAGTTACAGTCTAATGAGTACAGAGATTTGAAAGATGAAAAGATGAGTTTTAGTGATGGTCACACAACAGTGTGAATAGACATAATGCCATTGAACTGTAAGTACACTTAAATGGTTAACATTTCAAATTTTATGTATCTTTTACCACAATTTTTTTTCTTTTTTTTTTTTTTTTTTTTTGAGATGGAGTCTCGCTCTGTCACCCAGGCTGGAGTGCAGTGGCGTGATCTTGGCTCACTGCAAGCTCCGCCTCCCGGATTCGCGCCATTCTCCTGCCTCACCCTCCTGCACAATTTTTTTAATTAAAAAAAAACTCTAACTATCTGAAGGCTACTATCATGACCCCATGGAATAATCTTCAGAGTAGACACATTTATTTCCTTCAACCATTCTTCACGTGACTTGATTAAAGTCCATTCATACCTCTAGTCACTCACCTCTGAGTGTTCTCCAGCCACTATACCCCTGTTTAATTGAGACCATAGACCTCAATATGACACTGACCAGTTAAGAATAGAAAAGGCCTATCACTGCCCTCAATATGGCTACTAGATTTGGTAATTCAGCCAGACTTCCTCCTAATTTATTACAACGCTGTTTATTTCTATAGAGCTAATTTTCCAACTAAAACTCCAAGTTCTTTTTTAAAACGTTTTATCGGTCAGAACTTTTCCAGTGATTAAAAAGAAAATCCAAATGAATACACAAAATCTATGTAAATTGACTTAAGCTGAAGGCATCACATTACTTGACTTCAAATTATACTACAAGGCTATAGTAACCAAAATAGCACGATACTTACATAAAAACAGCCACGTAGACCGATGGAACAGAATTGAGGTTCCAGAAACAAGTTCACACATTTACAGTCAACTCATTTTTAACAAAGCCACCAAGACATACATTAGGGAAAGAACAGTCTCTTCAATAAATGGTGCTGGGAAGACTGGATATCTATATGCAGAAGAATAAAACTAGACCCCTATCCCTCACCATATACAAAAGTCAAATCAAAATGGATTAAAGATTTAAATATAAGACATGAAACTACCAGAAGAAAACACTGGGGAAATGCTTCGGGACATTGAGCTAGGCTAATATTTCTTTTTTCTTTTTTCTTTTTTTTTTTAATTGGTTGGGGGAGGTGTAGGGGGCAGAGAAAAGCTCTCCACCTTTCTCTGGTAAGAGAAATATGTCACCAGGTAGCTTCCAGGTTCATGGATGGTAGAATAAAGTGACAGTATTGTTCTCGACAACCCCAGTCAACATATCAAACGTATCATTGCTTGTCATGGGTTCTAATTGGGTCACATCCCTGAGTCAGTCTCCAAGGCCAGGATAATGCTAGTGCTGAGTGGCTTAGTTCTAAGCCACAAGTTCTGCCCCTGCCCAGGGGTATAGTCAATTCCACTGAATCAGCCTGAGGGCTAGAAGAGGAGAAGAAGTAATCCCTAGAGAATAATCAGGTTAATCTTATCAACAGGGAGAGGGGAAGTTGAGTGCAAAAACTACATACTTAACCACCCTTCAATTAGTTCAACTGGATATTTTGTGGACTAAGATACTGTTACCAGGGGTCCTTGTTCTTAGAGCTCCGAAGATGGTGGCAGGCCACTTCCAAAATGGTGAGCCACTTCCAAGATGGTAACAAGCCTCGTGTTCTCTGACCTGGGGTTCTTGGCCTCACGGATTCCAAGGAACGGAATCTTGGGCCATGTGGTGAGTGGTACAGCTCTATTAGAAGCTGTGGGTCACGGAAGAGAACCTAGAACCCAGTGACTAGTGTTCAACTTGATTAGGACGAACCTGAGCACTTAGCCGTGAGGGATCAATGGCAAGCCTTTAGCCCGACTGGGAGCGGCAATGGGCGCCTTGCTGGATCGGGAGCACAGTGGACACCCTGCCAGATCCAGAGGGATATAAGTCAGCGGCGGCAAATAGCAGTGGTAGACATGAGCGAAAGCTCAGCTCCAGCGGTAACAAACACGGACCAGAAGAGAGTGCAGTTGCAAGATTTAATAGAGTGAAGATAGAGCTCCCGTACAAAGGGAGGGGACCCAAAGAGGGTAGCCTTTGCTGGCTCCAATGCCTGGGTTTATATGGCGATCATTGTCCCTCCTGCTGTGCTCTCAGGCGATAGATGATTGGCTATTTCTTTA